GAACGGCGAGAAAACAGATAAAGGGTTGCGCGATACATCGAGAGGAACTTCGCTTTCGGCCGGGCGAGTCGCCGCGGTGTCGCTGGTTGATCACCCCGGTGATAGCCGGTTATCATACCCCTCCTCCCCCCCTTTCTCTCTCTCTCTCTCTCTCCCTCGTCTCGCTGCCCTCCCTGGCCTTTTTCCACCTCCGCCGAGCCGGCGCTCCTCTCTCGGTCCCTTCGCCGCGCCGTTGTCTTTCCTCCCACCCCCGCCGACCCTCCTGCAGTCCCAACAACCTCCCGTCTAGACGGCGCACGCACACATGCACGGCCTGAGCCGTCTCGCGCGCGCACAGAGATACGTCGGCCGTCGCGTATTAAGCGGCGTTCACACACGCGCGCGCGCGCGCCGTCGCCCGCAAACACGCGCCGGCGATAAAGCCTGAATAGCGGACCGTCGTCGCCGTCGTCGTTACGTCTTACGTGAATCGTAGGAAGAGAGCCGCGTTCCGTCTCGCGCGAGTCTCGGCCGAGGATGTCTCGACTCGCGCGCGACGTCAACAGCGACCGCAACAACGAATAATCGCGCATTCCGCGAGCGAGCGAGGCCTTTATTGCGCCGCGCGATAAAAGTCGCCGGCGTCTCGTACGAGCGCGGAATACGAGCTCCGCTTTCATAGCGCTCGTTCGCGGCACTTCCCAGGTGTTGCCTCTACCTGGTGCATTACGGTATTGCGGATTACGCTCCGAGGTGGCGTCGGGAGATTCTACATGTTGCGGGGATCTCGGGGCGTGGGAATCCTCGTGAGCTTCCGCGTGGGCGGACGGTTGTTCCTAGTCGTCGCGTTCCGTCTCTCGCGCCGTCTCGCCCGCTTGGCGCGACTTCGCGAGCGCGTCCGAGGAGGGGTGGAGACGAGGAGTTAATTATACGCGCTATATCGCCGGGCGTATACGAAGCGGTTAATTCGGGCTGGTAAACAAGCGGCGCGGCGTCGGAATTCCGCGAGCGTGCCGCGAGCGCGCAAACACCGCCGGCGACAGCAGCCGCTGCGCCCCGTCTCGTCTCGTAATCGGGAGTCTGCACGGTAAATAGGAGCGGGAGAGATGCTGCGACCGGCTGTATCGCATCGTCGTCCCTCCTCTCGCCGGCGATGACTGTACGAGCAGCCACGCGCGGCGCACGAGCGAGCGAGACGTCGTCGCGACGGACGAAGCGACGTCGGAAGACAGACGGTCCGCCGACGACGACGGACGACCTTGGCCGAGGTGAGGAGGTGAACGAGGTCGCTCGCCGTTGGGTGCCCCTTAAGGTGTGACTCCGCCGAGCGGCGAGATGACGTCGCGGAGGGTGCTCGAAGAGAGCTCACCTTTCTTTCGTTTTTGCCCGTCTATCTCTTTCCCGCTCCCTCAGGCTCGCGCGTTTTATCCGCTCTTCCTCCTTTCTCACCCTCTCTCTCTCTCCCTGTTTTTCGTCCCTCACCCTACCCAGACTGGCGCGGCGTCACTGCCATTATCGGCCGCCCCAGCTTTCTCTCCCTCCTACTTTCTCTTTCTCATACTCCTGCCGGTCGACCGGCCGTTCGCTAAGCTCGCTCGCTCGCTCCACTGCTCTCACGACGGGCGCGGGTGTGAGAAATCGTCGGTGAGACCGATCGACCGGCCGAAACGACGACCGGTACGGCGATCGTCCGCTAGAACCTTCACGGCTGCGTGTACGCGCCCGTGTATACCGCGCGTACGCATCCACCCGCGCGTCACGCAGAAGCGTCGCTCGCTCGGCGATCGGGGGCAATGTCGAAATTCCGTTGGGAGGATTGACCGACCGCCAGCCGCGCGTTCTTTTTCCTGCGAGAAGATCGGGAACGAGGCCGGCGCGTGGTTGCGTCACAATAGGCTGCTAATAGCGCGACGCACACGGATATCCGCGCGCCCGCCCTAGAAAATGGGTCAGACCTTCCCGATTATAATCCCTCCGCCGTCCCCCCTTTTTTCCACGCCTCTCTCGCGCCTAAGCGCGATCGGCTGGAAGGTGGACGAATCTCTTCATCACGCCGAAGGAATAAGAGATCGAGGAGATACTCGTCCGGGGATCCGTATTGACGAAAGCCCGTTCTCTCGCGCGCGGACTTTGCTTCTGATTACAGCGGAATTATGTAAATTACGTAAAGTTTGCTTATATACCGGTATAGGTACTCAGCCGTGAAAATATTCCGTGTCTCGAGGATGCGAGGGAAGAGGTGACGACGATCGATCTTTCCTGGGAAAAGTATCCGCGTATTCTCGGCGCGTAAAGTGTATGCCTGAATTCCAGGGTCGCCGGCGCACAGCCTTCTAATTCTTGGACACGCGCAGTGATTCAGCGGAAATCTCAACGGTTATAACGACAGAAGGCGTAATTGATGGCGGGGTATTTCTGCGAGAAAGAACTCGCGGACGAGTCGAAGGTGAAAAAATTCGAAAATAATTGATTCGAATGTATTCGAAAGTCACAGCGATTTAATGACGACCCCGAGCCACTGCATATGCTGCTGAAATGTCGAAACACTCGCAAACTATCGCGTCTCGACGAGGAACGCGCGTTTTCCGCCGTAGAACATCCGTGAGACTTTCGGGGAGGAAGAAGCAGCCACCGCAGCTAAAAATTTGCTGTCCGTGTAATACGACTGAAATTTAGTCAATCCACCTAATTCTTCTCGTCCCCGTGTCTAGTTTTAGTCTCCCACAGCTAGAAACTCGATCTGATGACCAAGTTTCAATTATATTATATGGACAGCTAATTCCTCTTTTTCGCATTATCGCTTGGACCGAACGCAAAATCGTGGCGTCAGTCGCTGAGAGATCGCTCGAGTCGCGAGTTTCGGCGAGAACTGGCGAAAGAAGAAAAAAACCAAGTGTCTCGTGTCAGACACGCGCCATCTCCATAATTAAATCGCGTTGTCATTTTAATAAGTCATCGGTATTTCAAGCAACCGAGGGATACCGCCGATATTGCGTCAGTCGCGCTCCCAAGTCCGGAGCTGTGACCGACATCCGGCCCGAAAGGTTCCGAGGCGAGCTCTCGGTCCCGCGATTACTGACACGCGAATATCTCTCCGCAGTAATAATCATCGCGCGTAATGCAGTTTTTTACGAAGGAGCCCGGCGACCTCTCTCCCGCATCGACGTTTCGCGGACGCGCATTAAATCGAGTAACTCGATCTACGATATTAATCTTGAACCGAGGCGGCGAGTCGATCGATCGATACACCGCGGGGACCAAAATAACAAGCTGATATAATTTCAAGCGTAATTTCATCCCCCGCAGCGCGGTGCGGCGCGAATTAACAGGGATCGATTATAATACGCCGTTGTTGCGACTAACCCTCCCCCCCTCCCTCCCCCCTTCGCTTGCCCCCTCTTCGAGCGAGCGCGCGCGCAAATTACGCGCTCGCGTTGCGTTGCGATTTTCTGACTGATCATCCGACACTTTGTACGTTACATTGCTTTTACGTTCTGCCCCCCCCCTCCTCCATCCCCGGTCGGTCTCTACCGTCCCTATTTCGCTGCAAAAATAAACGATTTCGCGTTCGTGAAACAACATTAACGAGCGTCTCTACCCGTTTTCCGCGCTCGCCGACGCGCTTCAATAACGACGACGGGAAATTCATGTTTTAACTCGTCCATGATGTGCGCACGCATCCATCTTTGCCGTCGCCGCTTTTAATTTTGATATTTGCTCAAGACCGTAAATTTCCGCTTTTTCGTCCACCTATACTTGAATTAATCAAAATATTAGGTCACTTAAATCTTTTAGAACGCTTAAGGACCACCCCGCACATCGATCCAATCTATCTCATGTAGACCCTGTCACAAGAATTTGCAATTTTGTTTGTCAAATTGTAGCTTAATTCCTTTTCTCTTTTTTCAGTCAAAATTTTCGAACAATCGATCTTGCCGAAATGCTACCAAAGTTAACGAAATGTTAGTCGCATTTGCTTCTTTTATACGTAGCTCGGAAAGGTTACAATTGTTCAAAGGCTTTCAATAATATAATTCTTATTAATCTCTCCTTTCTAAGTGGAAGTCCCTTGTAAATAAATAAATAATTAACCGTCAATGTCGTTTAATCCGGATTGATTTGACGTTAATTTAATCGCAAACGCCGCCCGGCCGCGCGAGTGTGCGCGCATATAACAACCCCCGATCGATCCCGAGATCTCACGGTTTCAATCGCGGAGGCAATCTCCTATTCGCCATAAGAGTACATGCATTCAGAAAAAGGCTGCTGCAGTCGCGTGCAAATTTTATCTCATTCCGCGTTATCGTCCGCGTTGAGTATCCGTTCGGTCGCGCGGTCGAATCACAGCGGCATTGTCTGCCGTCGCGTTTCATGAATCGGAGAATACGGAGACGTAATTATACACGGTGCGTTTTTATTTATAAATAAAGCGCGCGCTATCTCGCTTATCTTCCCTCTTCGGAATGCGAGGCAATTATTATCGAGGCGGCATAGGCATCTTAATCGGAAGCCAATCACGGTGCATCCCGAGAGCCGTCACTGCCGCGAGCGAATGCGGGAAAGATCGTCGTGCGAGAGAGAGAGAGCGAGCGCGCGGAACGCGGACGATTTTTGCGTCGTGCGACGACACGCCGGGCTAATCAGCCGGTGGATCAGGCACCCGCGATACACGCACGGCAGCGTCTGGTGGCGGCGGCGCGTGTGGGTGCGTGCGAGAGGAGCGAAAAAGAGCGCGAAAGAGAGGGAGCGAGGGGGAGAAAGAGACCGACGGAATCAGAGTGAGTCTCTGTTGCGCTCGCGGGCAGACAGGACGAGACGCGGCGCGACGCTTCGTGAGAAGCGGAGCGAGAGGAGGTAAATGCGGCCACTGCGCCGCCGGCGGCGACGGACAGAACGGCGGCGGTGGCGGCGACTTTGACGGCGGTGGAGGGAGTGGAAGGGAAACGCTGCGGGTTTCGAAGTGGGGTCGACACGAAGAGGCGGGGGGGGAGCGGCAGCGCCGACGGTGCTGCGGCCTGACAGACACCGGACGCGTTCAGTCTGCCGTCGAACGTGGTGTGCGACGGGTAACGTCGACGAGGGTCGCAGCGTCGCGACACCCAGGACCGTCCTCGCGATTTCTCGCGCGCGTCGTCGAGCGAGTGTGAGAGCGCGCGAGCGGACGTTCGTCCTGTTCCTCCGTCCTGTGCGGTGCGACGCGTCTGTGTGTGTGTGCGGCGCGACGAGTGCCGCCGTCGTCGCCGAGGAGAAACGCGAGGGAACGACGAGAGAGAGACGCATTTTCTCCGCCTTTCTCGCGGTGACGTCCGTCGTCCTGCGACGACTTTCGCCGACGCGAACGAAGGAACGTATCGCGCCGAGAAGAAGAGCCGCTCTCTGACGTTTCTCTCTGCGCCGCCTGCAGCGGCGGGAACTCGGCCAACAGCCCGTGCTTATCCCTCGCCAGATCTCTGTCCTCGCTCCTTCACGCAACCTGCCCCCTGTTCTCGCTCCCTCTCTCGCTCTCCCGACCGTGAGACGGATTTATGCACGAGGGCGGAGATCCCCGGCCGCGAATAAGGCCTCCGATGGGCCCCTCGGAGGATCCTCGCGAACTGGTGCGCGCGACGACGCGACGAGCGACGCAAGAGCGAGGACGCGCGAGATGATTTCGGGAGTCAAGGTCGGCCCTGTCTAGACTGCTGTCACCGGTGCTGCTTCTGCTGCCAATGACAACTATACATCGCGAGGCAGCGCGTGTACGCGTCGAGCGAACTCCCCGATAATACTGGCCGCTCTCGACGAGAGTGACTCTCTTCTTCCTCGTCCTATCCGTCGCTCTCTCATTCCCGGAAATCTCTGGGAATCTCGCTAGCGGACGAAAGAGAGAGACGAGAATCCTCCCTCCTCCTACGCGGCGATACACGGCAGAGAAGGGGATAACACCGGCGGAGTCGCGCTGCTCCCATTAGACGCCCGTTAAACGACCGTAACGCTTATGGTCAAGTGGGATCGCCGGCGCGGAGCACCGGATACAATCGAATTAAGTGGGAACGGGGTCGCTTCCTCCTAACGGGCCCCGATCGATCGTCGTCGTCGGTGGACCGAGCCACGGGAACCGCGACGACCGGGGCAGTGCTGTCTCTCTTCGCGAAAGCGCCGTCGAGAGATCCGTCTGTCCGCCTCTCGAGGTCGCCGGGGATGCTGCATCGGTGGTGCGCCGGGAGAGAGCGTCGTCGCGTCGCGGGCGGCTGAAGTCAGTGGTGATCCGGTCGGTGCGGTGATCGAATCGTTACGACGACGACGACAATAACAACGACGACGACGACGAGGATAACGAGGACGTCGGCGACGAGGACGCGACTCTTTCGTGTGGCTCGGCGAACTGTTCGGCGAGGGTGCGCCGAGGGTGGACGGCGACGAGGGCGAAAGTGGTGTTGTCGGTGGTGCGTTTATGTCAACTCGACGCCGGCCGTTGGTCAGTGGTTGCTCCCGGCACGCCGACAACCTGGCGGCTCCGTTCAAATGAAGCTGAGGCGTCGCTACATGCAGACGCTCGGCGTCTCCGTGAAACAGCTGCGAAAGAAATTACTCGAGCTGGGCGCGCGAATCCTCCACGTCCAGAAGTCGAAACAGCGCGACATGGCACTGGTGGTACGTGTCGAATTTCTCTTCTCTCGCCTCATTTGCTTCGCGTATGCGCGTCACGCCGTCTCCCGGTTCGACGAAGTCCGGGAGCGCGTCATCGAGAAACGCGCCGTCTGCCAGCCGGGGAAACCCCGTCTGGGATTCTCGAGGAATCTCCCTTTCCGTCCCGGGAAGCCGGTGTTTCCGAGAATCGCGAAGTCGCGCGCTCGAATCCCTTTGTAAATTCGTATGCGAAAGCGCGCCCCGATCTCCCCCGGAAATCGATTAGACAGCCTTGACGCGTCTTCGGCGTGCTTTCGACGCCGAGGGACGTGCGAGGAAAATTGCGCGTCTCGCGGTCTGCCGTTGTTTGGAAAACATAATGCGCGAGAATCGCGCACTCGCGCGCGTCGAGAACCTTCGATTTTAGGTATCGCGTTAATCGAGTTTCAAATAAATTTTCGCCGAGTTATCCGCGGCTAACCGAGAGATAAGTTCCTGCTTGGCTATTTATCACTCCGCTCGATTTTTTTCAATCGTCGATGCATAGTAGCTTCATAATTAAAAACGACGGCGAAAATTCACCGGATTCGCGGAATCCGCGAGCACGCTGTTAAGATCATCGACGGAGCCGCGCTAAAATGTATGTACACATCGCGATCGTATCTTCGTCTCTACCGGCGTAAATAAGATATCGCGAAAGTATCGGCCCTGAATATTAAAAAAACATCACCACGCGAGAACGGATCGAACGGCTCTTCTCGTGACGCGCGTCGGAAAATCACAGCGGGATTTTCACAACAGCGAGCTCTCTTCGAACCCCGCAATTGCACCGATGGAAAGTTATAGTTGGTTTTGACGCTAACATACCCTTTAACCACCAGAAATAGTCAAGGGAACCACTTTTTTAATGAGTATTGTTATAATGTCAGTGACAATAACTTTGCATCGATAGAAAATTATGGCTGAGATAAGTAGAAAGTGTGGGGAACCAAACGCGTTTGTTCTGTATTTTGTTACAGTTGAAAAAAGAAATAGTTCCCACAGCTAAAAGCTGTGTTCGCACAGGTAAAGATTAGCTTTCCGTATAACAATATTGAAATTTAGTTAATTTTACTAATTTTTTTCTCCCTGTACCTTAGTTTCAGCTCCCACACAGGGGAAAAAAAAGTCTGGTTAAATTTATCAGACGGTGAACGAACCAAACGCGGTTTGATAGAAGGCAATAGAATTTCTGGATCTTACGACCCAAATTCGGTTCTTATAACCAGAAATTCTGTCTCCACCGGCCGAGACGCGTTTGGTTCGTTCACCGTCTGGTAAATTTAACCAAACTTTTTATCCGTGCACAGTTAAAAAATCTAAGTCAGGTAACTAAGGCCGATATTCATAATCGGATCTTACATTTAAGACCGTCTTAAGTTCATCTTCGGATGCTTCGTAGCCGACGAACTAAGCCGTACAAATATTTGAAGATGCATTTAAGGCGGTCTTAAATGTAAGACCGCACTATGAATACCGGCCTAAATATCAGTTATACGGACGGACAATTCCTTTTTTCCGTGTAATACTATAAAATATATTTGGCGCCGAAACTATCGATAATTTTCTACCAGTATGCCCACCGCCGTCGTTTTACGATCAATTCGCGATGAATGCGCGGTGCGCTTCTGGGCGAAAGTATCGTCCGAGATTTGATTTCTCACCTGGCGGTGACTAACGACACCGACAGTGGCGAAAATGAATTACGACCGGCCGCGTGATGCGCGCCAGGTCGGTGAAAGTGTTTTATGCGCGCGACTAGTGCGTGCAGGGCAGAAGAGTTTCTTTTTTCAANGGGGCGCGCGCCCCCCCCCCCCCCCTCGATGTGCACGCTGCACCTTACGCTCGGCGGATTTGCATATTACGGCATCGAAAAGGGCCCCGGCAAATAAGCAGGGTGGCATACACACACCCGGCGTGTCATAGGCTTGAATTTCAGAGATTGAGTCGGCGAAACATAATAACGCGCACGATCGTCGCGTGTGGACGAACCGGGTTCGCCACTCGTTTTCGCGCGTTTGACATAGTATACAACCATTTGAGATGTCCGTTTGAGATTCCGCTAACGAAGAGGCACAGCCGCGAAAAGACCGAAGGGGAACACTCTTCCGTTGAAGAGCAACGGAGCGACGGAACTGGGGAAGCGCGCTTAGAAATGTTTCACCTGCATCGAGATTTTTTTTTAGCAGACGTTATCACGCATACACGCGGGATCTATAGTAGTTTCTTCTTCCTTTTCCCTTTTCTTGAATTCCATTTTTCTAATTCCATCTTTTTGCGTTTACACTGAGAAAAGTGCTACTTGAGTGCATTTCATTTGATCCAAGTAAAATGGTTACTCCAATATTTCAAATATTTATTAGAAATATAATTATATATGATATGATATTTCTCTTTGTAAGTAGATATTTACTTGTGTGTGTTAAAACAATTGCGATAAGTATTAAATTCATAATATTGACAATATCAGAGTTTATTTCTAGCAAATACTTACTGAACAGGAAAATCTAAATCCAAAATCACTAGGTTTCTCCAATGGAAAAGAAATATTACATTAATTCCAGTAAGTACCCCCTTAAATTTAAAGTATTTACTACAAGCTATTAAAATATACCTAAATCGATAAAAATATCCCTTGACTTAAAAGACTGAAAAACAAATAATTATATTGATTTCTTCCGTGTATGAATTGCTTTTAAACGCGAAAGAAAAGAATCAGCTCACTCAAAATTGGCTATCCATATAGTACGATTGGAAATTTAGTTACCAGATCTACTTTTTAACTGAGAGCTCATTTTTATAATTATATCCGTACACATCTACGACTATATTCGTACACCGAAAAAAAAAAAATTAACTTCCGCAGTTAAAAACTGAGTCTGTTAATTAAATTTCAGTTGTATTATACGGATAACTAATTTTTAGCTGTGAGAGCTAATTTTTTTCTGTGTATCGTCTCTTACATTATGTATGCTAAAGGGATATATTTTCCCGTAAAAAGACGGAATAAATAAAAATAAAGTAAGTGATATGCGGATGAAACATTTTCAATGCCTGGAATATTTTCGAAAATTCTCGACGCAGGCGGCACCGCTCGATATGGAACGATAGCGCGCGCGTCCGCCCCGCTGCGCGCGGTATCTGGAACACCGAAACCGATTCCGTCGTTTTTCTCTTGTCTCGTTTTCGCGAGAGCGCGACTTGTGGCGGACGTCGCGACGGCGACGATAGCGACAACGACAAGAAGGAAGGTGGGAAAGCAGGAGGAAGAAAGAGAACGAGGGTGGAAAGGCGCGCTCGCGAACCGAGCGAGGTGGCATTATAATAAAAGAAGCGGGGAACGAGAGAGGCCGTTACACTGTCTGCCTTGTGTTTCTTCCGTCTGGCCCAGAATGCGAGGCAGGCTTTCACTGCAGTTTTCTCGTCTGGGTCGGCTGCTCGCGCGCGCGCGAGTCCTCACCGTCTCGTTCTTTCGCTCCCTCGCTCTCTCTCTCTCTATCTCTGTCGCGCGCCGCCGACGACGCCTTTCTCGCCCTCCCTTCCTCCCTCCCGTTCTGCTTCTCTCGCTCTTTCTTACGCGACGAACGTGCGAGAGAGTGTGTGCATGTCGGTCGATACCTTCACGTGGCACTTTTAAATGTCATCAGCCGCGGTCTCGCGAATCCGAGCCATCTCAGTGAGTGCGAGAGAGAGAGAGAGAGAGGATAGTGATCGGCCGTGACGGGGTTTCTCGCGAAACGCTGACCTTTGACTGTCAACGGGTCTACCGTCGGAATCTCTCTCTCCCTCTCTCTCTCTCGCTCTTTCTCTCTCTCGGACTGAGAAATAAATAAGTAAATAAAAAAAAAATTACTGTAATTCGCTGAAAGGCAGAAGAAAAAGGATCGAGTTAAATTTGAGACGCTGGGATTTTTTTTACCGCTATCCCCGCGCGATGCGCTGATAATTTGTATGCGCGATTACAGTCTCGCGTAAACAAGGCGATAATGGATTCTCCCTCCACTGAAAGGATGCCGTCGGTACCGTCGGTGGTGGCGGCGACGGTGCTCGTCCGGTGTGGCTGGCTCGATACAAAAAAATTGAAAGATGCAGCTCGGAAAGGGTGATCGTAAAAATACGCCTTAAAGACGCTCCATTTTACGAGACTCCTTTCGAAAGTGGAACTCGGGCTTTATCCGTGTCTACGAAAGCGATAAAAACGTCGACGTCGTCGCAGTGTCGTCGCCTCGCGATAAGCAAACCGTAAATATATTACGCGTTAGCACGGATCCGACTATCATTGTGTGAGCGTCTACACGTGGCGAGTCGTTCAACAAACATATAAACAGTTTGCCCCCCTCTCCCTCTTCTCCTTTCTCGCTCTCTCTACACGGAAGATAAAAATCGCGGACTCTTCTTCTAGCGTTTCGGCCACGTGAATCTCGGAGACGCGTCGTCGCGAGCTTACTGTTACGTGTCCCGCAACGTACACTTTTATCTTTTCCTTTCAATCTTTCTTTCAGAAACCTCTCATTTGGCCTGGAATATCTTCCGACAGTTCTGTTTCCGGCCTCGGACCGTACTCGTGTGTAAACATAGGAAATTCCTAGACTTTAAACATGATAAACTATGTAAACGAATCCATATCTTCGATCGTCCGTCGGAACGCAGCCCGTGAATTTATCTAGTTTTATGCTGCAATTCTAGACAAAATCGTGAGACTCGTAACTTATTTTCGTAAAAGTCGTAAGAACTTATGATTGAAATCGCAACTTTATGCGTATCGTACGACGTACGATCACTCGTAAACACACCGTATCCAAGTGTGTTATTTTCGCACGCATAAACGTCTCAAAATGACACATTTGACTGAAGCTACTTTTATATGTTTTTGCCGATTTAGCTTGCGTCGTTTAAAACATTTAATCGTGTTAAATTAACACATTAAATTTAGACGTATCAAGTTAACACGTCCAATCGTGTTAAATTATATGATTTAAAACGGT